CCAGAGGGTGATGATGAGTGAAAGCTTGTCATCCTTTTGAGGCTTTTTTTGTGGGTCCCTCAGGGCTCCAGTGTGTCACTCCTTCTGTTCAATGTATATATGAGACGACTGGGCAAGACTGTATGGAGACTCAGAAAGAGGTGCTATAGTATGCTGATAACACAGCTCTAGCTTGCTTTCTCATCTGACCTAGGTCCCATAATCTGTCCCTTCCCAAAGCCTGGATGCAGTTAGGAATTGGATGTGGGTGAACCAATTGAAGCTCAATTCAGAAAAGAAATAGGTGATTGTGGTGGACAGTCTGTATGACATGGAGGGGATTGGCAGTCTGTGGAGGTGGAATTCCTCTCCTTAATTATCTTTCCTCATTCAAGGATGCTTTGATTTGTGTCTGAAGTACTAGGAATCTATATTTCTTTTTCTGAATGTTCTTATTCAAGACTATGTATTAACAAGAAACAATACAGAAGAAAACAGACCTCCTTGGTAAGAAATCAGTAATAAATGATGACTGCTCATCATTGATAGGGTTCAGCCTCCCCTGCTTGTTCAGGTTCAAAGCCTTCAGGTATTCCAGGCAGATCTCTAGGTGGCCGTGGTAGCTAGAAGTGCCATTCACCTGCTCCTGGTGAGGCAGCTGTGACCCTTCATTTCAGTTTCAGATCTGGCCACTGTCATACATATCTTTGTACCCTCCAGCTATACTACTGCAATGCACTCTGGGAGGGATGCTCTTGAGGCCTGTCTGGAAATTGCAGCTGGTGTAAAATGCGGCAGCCAACCTTCTGATGGGGTGGGACATCAGGAGCACATGACTAAAATATGTTAGAATAGGGCTGATCAACATTCAGGCAGCCAGGTGCTACAGACCAGGGAGCCGTATACTGTGTGGATGGGGGAACCAGGTTGCCCGTCACCCCATGCCCTGCCTAGGCACAGCACAGGCAGCCCAGATTCCTCCCCTCCCTCCAGCTATGCATGCCACATGGTGAGCCCCTCCTGCACCACAGGCAGTCTGGCTTCCTGCCACTGTGTGCACAACGACTGACACTCTCTCCCAGCTGTACATACCACTCCCTTGCAGTTCAGGCAGCCCAGCCTCCTTTGCTGCATGCATTTTGAGCACTCCAGCCCCCTCCCAGTAACCAAGCAGAAGCAATAGGGGTGGGTGGGAATGATGGCCAGGTGGGTGCTCATGAACTGCATGCTACCCTTTGGGGGCTGGAGGGGAACATAGGTCTCCAGTTGGACCAGTTCTAGAGTCTGCACTGGCTCCCAATAGGTGCCTGGGTGCAATTCAGGGAGCTGGTTTTGACCTATAAGGCCCCAAATGGTATGGGTCCTACATACCTAAGGGACCATCTCCTCCCTTTTGCCCCAAGATAGTCCCTAAAGTCATCCAAAATTAACCTCCTACTAGTACTTTCAGCGCGCCAAGTTTGCCTGGCAAAGACATCTGGGAAATTGTTTTTGGTAGTTGCCTCGCTGCTCTGGAACTCCATTCTCTTTTAGGCATGTCAAAGCCCAAACCTAGACGTCTTGAGGAAATGCTATGAAATCTTCCTCTTTGAGCAGGTGTTTAGCAGGCAAAGCTAAACTGGGGTACTACTTAGGGAGTTTTGCTCTGTAGGTTATCTTAGTACTGTGTTGGCTTTTATAAGTGGCTTTGTTTCTCCTGGTCTGGTCTCTTGTTTGCTTGCTTTATAAGTTATTTTAAACTCTTCTGTAAGCTGTCATGGGCCTTTGCTGGGAAGGGTGGCATACAAATCAAATCAAATCACTCAATAAATAAATACATTTAATTATCTGTTAGACACTGAATTCAAGCCTCTTTTGTAACAGTTGCTCTCATCACTAACACTTCAAGTAATGGAGAGAGTGTACTTTAGATAATTCTGCCTTCAATTGAACCAATGAATATTTGCAAAAATGACACTGAAGTCAATGTAATTCTTCCAGAATTAAATGAGATCCGAATGTAAATTAAAGAACTATGTATTCCCTTGAGTTTCAGGTCATGGTGATGTCACTCATTCTTACCAGACATAAGCAACACCCTGGGTTCAGGTCTTGGAAGGTAAAAAGCTTTTCAATTCACCTCTAAGAGGCTCCATATGTGTTAAGTCAAATAATTTATTCCCAGGAAATTCATCTCCACCCCAAAATGCACTAATTAAAGCTTTGCTTGCTTTGTCTCTGTGTCTGCAGGCTGTAATTCCCATCACCTCTCATTTGCTACTGGCTTTGGCAATTTAGAGAAAATCAGCACTCCTGGAGAAGGGAAGCAGTCTGTGGAGGTGGAATTCCTCTCCTTAATTATCTTCCCTCATTCAAGGATGCTTTGATTTGTGTCTGAAGTACTAGGAATCTACAGTCCTTTTTCTGGATGTTCTTATTCAAGACTATGTATTAACAAGAAACAATACAGAAGAAAACAGACCTCCTTGGTAAGAAATCAGAAATAAAATTGCTGTTTTGTTATTCCTCATTGTAATCAATAATTATTTGGAACAGTTCATCTCAATCTGCTTAAATGTGGTGCCTTTCATCAACACCTCCTGGAGGGGTTCCTCTACTACTGTCATGCTGGTGCTTGTAATGCTGAGAAATGAGCCGCACATTTCTAGCTCACAAGATTATTCTGCTGCTCATACTGAAGAACTGAAGAACATCAGCAGATGTAGAAGATGCCCCTGAATGACTTTGTACAGAGCAAATGAGACATGACATATATTTCTTTTA